GATTCCACACTAAACCGGGTCTATCACATATTCACGGGTCGGTTTGTAGAGTTAATCCGACCCGTTGATTTTCGGATCGGGTCTTTGACTGGGTTTGCTGACCCGTTTGACTTTACGGGTCGGGTTTGACTATTACAGGGTTTGACTGACTCGTTGGGTCACAGGGTCGGGTCCACGGTCACTTGACCCATATATTTATAGGGATAGGGTTGGGCCGGATAGGAATATAATGGTTTTGTGATATGTTTTAACACCAAAAACAAAACTAGCCCAATGGTTGAGGATTGGGTTTTCCACCATGGAGACTTGGGTTCAAGTCTCACCACCCACGGCTATTTAATTTTTTTTTCAAAAAAACTAACAGGTAAAAAGACATGTCATTCATAAGGGTGGATAAAAAACAACGTGTCGGTTTGTGTCGTCTTCAACCTCTGTCCGGGTCTGCAACTGGGTATCCGACCCGAAAATCAACCCAATCGAACCCGAAACTTCAAAGGGCATATCTAAGTCATTTTAACTCCATTTTTTATGATTCAAAACCATTTTCTTCATAATTTCATAAGGAATTTAATGGACTAGATCATTACCAAAAAAACAACTTTTTACGTACAAAATTTGAAAAAATCAGAACTGCATTTGACAAACCAATAACATCTTCACCATTACAGTATGAATTTCAAACATATGAACCACGGCTCTGATACCAATGTTGGAAATTATAGAAAACATATATCCTAACATAATCCCAAGATCATAGTCACCATTGCAATCACATTTTCACATAAATGAACTACAATGATTACCAGCATAAATACCTTCATCCTTAACTCTGAACAATAAAGTTAATCTGGAAGAAAGCCACGAATCGTTTTCTGTTTTCCAAATTTTTTTAGAGAGAGAGAGCGTACTTTTCCTTGCGTTTTTCTTTGAATAACAGTGTTCATTCTTTTTCTAAAAGGAAAAGTTTTCCTTTTATATGGCAGCGGTTGGAGAGAAACTGCATTTGGCAGTTTCTCTCACACACGTCGCTTGGGGTAACCATCATGGGTGTACCCCTATCCAATAAATATATTTGAGATCAGTTCACATTCAGCGAGCTAATTTACAGAGTTTACAAAAGACTGTGAGAGAGAGAGAGAGTATAGGCTATTACATAGAGACAATAGCTACTCCCACAAATGAGAGGAGCTCTCTATTTATAGTGGGATGGGTTAAGATAATGATTATAAAATCTGTGAGTTGTTAACTATCCGTACAAATCCTTATTTTGTCCCGTTGCCCACCTACTAAAGTGATTTACGCGATTTGTGCAAGGATCGGACACGTGGACTTTCTCCAGTCTCTGGCTAGCTTGGCGCGCACCCCCTACACTGACAGAAGCAACTCTCAAGTCATCACCGACGTGGCTGTGTCTGGACGACTGCAGGTTTACCTAAGTGCTGACCACTTATGCTAATAGGCTCTGTGACAACCCTACTTTTCCGGCCATAACAGTTTTCAAATCTGTCTTATGAACATCTTTGATTTATATTCTTCAGGATTTGTTTACTGCGGAGCTAGGATCTTAATCTTGAACCATCGAATTTCTCAGAATTTTTGGTAATATACTTCCTTGTACGTGTCAAGGTATGCACATGTCATGAGAATTAGGCTATCTGATTGAAGTATTTCCATTGGCCACTTTATGAGAAGAAACCACTTTATCCACATGAAACCTGCAAAAGAATATAAAATTATAATTACTCTCGATAATGTTCATTTAATTTTCAAGATTTTCTTTACTAGTATTAAATTATTGTTGTTTACATATCTTTTTCTCTTGGAAGATGCGTTGTTGCCTCTGTCAATTTTTGACTGCAATCTGAATGAGCAATTAATGGCTCTTTCTCTACATTTCTAATCTCATCATTTTCCTCGAAGAGGCTCTCCTTTTTCTTATTTTCTCGGCTTATTGGGCCGTGAACATTGGGATGCGTTTATTACGCTCACTCAATATTCATATTATACTTTAGGGATGCGTTTGGATGGTGTCATTTACTATTACTCCGGTAATTTTCGTTTAATTTTTAAGATTTTTTTGTTTGATTTACAAGTAATAAAATACTATAATAATCTTTTACTGTAAATAGTATTAATCAAATTACCTTATAAAATGGTGTTATTAAAAAATTATCGAGATAATTTGATTTTTATACTTATTTTACCTTTAATTAAATATCATTTCGGATACAATTACTTTCAAATGACTACCAAATAATCATTACCTAGACCTCCTGCATTTGAGAATTTAGCTAAAACACATTGACTAGAAAAAAAGTTTAAAAAATACCTTCAACCACCTAAGACCACCGCCGCCCGATGACGACAATCACCATATCGATGCAAGATCTAACTGTTTTCGGCTAGATCGAAGGCTAGAACCAGCCAGGTCCACGGCGACCTGGCTATTTCCAATCTTCAATCTGGTCAAAAACAGCCAGATCACAGTTAAAGATTTGCCCTTTTCATGTCCAAATCTATGGTCGTTTCACGGCTACATCTTTGGCAGTAAAACGACCTTACTGATGCACGACCAGTCATATCCAACCGGTTGTGCACTATTTTTGCAACTGCCGATGGTGTCGACAGTGGTGGCTAGCTACCGGCAATGGCTTGGGGTAGGTGGGGGTGATTTTGCTATAAATTAAAGTTTTATATAGCTATGGTGTTTTAGCAAAATTTTATATGTAAGGGTTTAAAAGAAATGATTAAAAAATTAATAACAAAAATAATATTATATCAATAATTTAAAAGGAGAAGATCTAGCAATTTATATAATATACCCATCCATTTACCTCCCAACTAAACATATCAATATAACATACCCATTAATTTATTCTAACCTAACGAAACACATTTTCCAAAACATTTTCAATAGTCTTCAAGATAATCTACCTTTCCATTAATATAACATTTTAATAAAACAACATTTCCTAAACCAAACTCACCAACAACTAATGTATGTGGGGTATCTAAACATGGGTCGGATTCAGTTATTTCGAAACTAAAAATTTAAGAATTTTACACTATGCCAACAAAAATCAATTAAAAAAACAAATTAAATAAAAAATATATTGTTATGTCCTGCTTCACGTCTTATGATATACTAAAAATGTTTGAGTTGAACTTCCAAAACTACAATGGAGACCCAAATAACCTGGGAGGATGTCTATGTAATTTAATATAATTTCTCCCCAACTTTTTCCTGAATAAAATGTTCACCTTTAAGTATCTAAAATAACAATTTACCTCCTATCATTAGTGTTTTAATATAGTTTTTATCATCTAAGTAACACATATTACCATTAATCCCGCTAAATTAAACACCAAGAGCTCTAACCGATGATGACAACAGAAAAATTGTTATTTTTCAAATACCTTACGAGGAAATTTCAAGAGACCTCACGGTGAATTTTATTAAATTCAAAACCAAATTATAACATTATGGTTGTGAGACTGTCTAATTAAAAATAAGGGTTTAAGCCAATTACCTCGCTCGTGGTTTTCAAAATTCGTAGGTGGTCCCTATGTTATGCGAATGATCCAACCACCTCCCTGCCGTTAGTTTTTTCCATAAAATCTAACTGTTCATTGATTTTGACCACTAAATGACAGTATTACCCTAATTTAAAAAAAAAAAAATTCAAAAGACAAGCCCAAAAATTATGTTAAATTAATAAAAATATATGTATAATCATTAAAAATAAACCAAAAAGTCTTAAAATTATGTTAAATTCATTAAAAAAAGGGGAAAAATTATAAAAAAACCTACCAAGTTCAAAAATTTCTTAAAATCTATATTAATTTTTGGCCTTTTAAATTGTTTGTAAAAAGTTTATGTTCTAGGCAATTTTATTGAATTTTTTATGTTACGTTATTTAAAAATAAAGATTTTTTTATTAATTTTGTGGAAACTCAATTTTAGGAGTAATTTGGTCATTGCATAAATCAATTTGCCACCTCCCTGCAGCCATATCCCACCCACTAGCAATGAAATTTGAATCTTACAATACGGAACCAATATTAACAACAAAAAAAATCAATCAAAATAAATAAAGAATTAATTGATTAAAGCCAATAACAGCAAATTGGGTTTTACATATCTAGTCTTCACCCTCGCTCTTTTTTACATATTAGGCATCTTAAAAAATTGATCAAATGGAGATTCATGGCTGATAATGTGATTAAAAATAATACAAATTGATGCCAACAACCAATTCTACCACCCCATTTCCCCATTGTTTTAGTGCCTCTCTCACTACTAAAACACACATGAGAGCCATCATGTGATGTGATTCCACTTTATTGATTCGGGTCTCTGGACCATCGCTTGACCATGTCACGTGCTCATCACGTTTTTTACAATGAGTCGAGAAACATTTTAAACTCTAGGTTTGGTAATAGTATGATTAGGGGTGTTTAAAACCGATTAACTGATTAATTTTCCTAAACTGAAACCAAACCGGTTAAGGAAAAAACTGGTTTTAAATATCGAAAAACCAATTTTGAATTGGTTTTAATTTAATATTTTATATATTTATTAATTTAATATTTTTATAATATACTGGTTTTTTATTTTATATTTTAATTTAATATTTTTATAATAAAATGGATTATAAAACTAGTTTTGGTTAACCAATTCTCATATTCTCGTAAACCGATTCTCATATTATCGTAAACCATTAACCAAAACCAAACCGATTTTCCGAATAATCGATAACTGATTCCATTCGATTTTTGTATTTTTTTAACACTCCTAAGTATGATAGGTCCCAAGGTTCTACGACATGAATCTTTTTAAAACAATCAATAACGGGGTTTTGTTACAATAGATTGTTGCAATAGCACATCAACATGAAACTTGTAAAACAAAAACGTGAAACTTGTAATATGCACTTTTACATGGTATTATATAGCCACAGCATAGCCATAGAAAGAAAGTAAACTAATTAAGCAAATACAACCAGAGTTTCACACAGAAAACAAGTAACCAAATAGTAGCAGCGTCCAAGAGTAGAAAGAGCAATCAACATCATTTCGCTGCCTAGAAAACCAAACATCACCAACATTAGATAGTAATTACGTTGAATCACAACACAGAAAACATCCGGCAGTAAAAGATTATATAGCAGTAGCCTTCATCTAACATATCTAATTAAATAGTTCAGCAACATAATCCGAATTCCAGGGAAGAAAATCCAGAGAATTTCAGAATGACATCCATCACAATATGTGTCCACTGGCCAGCAAAAAGGTTATCGTTAATGTGTGCACCAGAAACCAAGCAAGACTTAAACAATCACTGTCAATTTTGCAATTCTGAACAAAGCAGGTGGTATTGTCTTCCATTGTTGGTCAGCTTAACTTCTTTCATTACTTGGTTAGCTTCCTCCCACAGCATTGTAATAATCTTGTTAATCCTCTCCCATAAAGAATATCTCCTTATATTATAAACAGTTTGGCGTGTTTTTGCAGCTTTTTGCTTTCCTTTCAGTCATCTGGGAGGGTTGCAAACTGACTAGTATCAGAAAGGGGCAATTACACAATTCAGGAATTGAATGAATAATTCATAAAAAGAATTGTGCGACCTGATGTAACACAATATGCATGGGATGGGCCGCTGCCTCAATTTGGCCTTTTATCCTCATCAGAGGAGAAATTATCAAATGTCCCTCACACTTTGAGGCAATGAGTTTTTTATTTGAAATAAAAAACAGAAGACTATGCCTTCACCAGATGAATGCTTGATATTAAGTAATAATAGCACTTCAAACTGCAGAACATAGAGGGCATGGCATGGATTCACCCAAATATATAGTAATGCAAAAGAAGACAAACCAAATATAATGAACAGTATAAATTGCAGAAAGCTAGCTTCACAAGGCAACAAAAAGTAAACTTTACCTTGAAACCATTGAACTATGATGCAGGACACCACCACAATTATACAGAATACCATAGACAGTTCCAAGATTTGGCATATCTTCAAGATCAGGCAAACAAGAAAACCCCATAAATGATGGAGTGCAAAGCCTTGAATTTCCTCTTCGAGGATTTCCTACCAAAGTAACAAGAAAGATGCTGCGCAGAATCTGCATAAGTCATTTTTTAACACTTTACCACTGGAGGGATATGGGGATGTAAAAGGTTATCCTATCAACTTGTTCCAACCTACTATAATAAGCTCATGGGTTTGAACTTAAGTTACCTTTCATATAAGAAGATTTCAACCTCCAAGTTTCACTCAAGTGCTACTCGCTTCTTTTAGGACCTGCAAGCCTGTGTCAGTTCCATTCAGTAACAAATTTGGAAAACTGTAAAATACAATCAACATCTTACATCAATAATAACAATAAAAACAATAATGGCCTAGCCCTACATTATTTCTACAAGTGAAAAACATTGCAAGATCATTCCCTGCATTATGACTTGAGATCATTATATAATCATTTTCTTTTTGGAACAGAATTCATATTTACATGAAATTTATTGATTAGGCTTCTCTGGAGTTTAAAACTATTAATAATAATTGGGTGATTTTCATGAGCTTTATTAAAAATCCTGATAAGCCAATTAAATCATATAGGACATGTTTAATTCTTCACCCATAAATCATACAGGCAGATAACAAGGTTAAAATGCATTTTTAAAACTGAAAATGCATGGCTAAAAGTAATACATATATGCAGATAACAAAGTTTAATAGAGTATGAGAAACATCCAATGCTGGAAAGAGTTGTTACAAGATTTAACAAGTAATGATTTNTTGACTTAATAAAAATGTTATTTGACTATTAAATTTATAATTAAATGACAAAAATACCCCTTTTAGAAATAGATGAAAAATGACTTATACAAACAACACTAATCCCATACTTAGCGGATGTGGGATCCTAACAACTTGAATTCGCATATTTATATAAAACGTTGATGAATTGTTGATCTCCCTGCTTTTATTTTTTCTGTGATTAAATAATTAATTAGAGATGATGTTTTAAAATATACTTTTGAACACATGAATCAATAAGGATCCATTTTCAATTATGCTGAAAATATGAAAGAAAAAATAAATTACCTAAGACTGAATATGGTCATAAAGCTCTTACATAAAAGATGCTTTTTCATAAAGTAGTTTATATTTAGATTGAATAGTAACTAAGAGCGAAAATTTATCATTGACTACGTTTTCATATTTAGATTGAATAGTAACTAAGAGCGAAAATTTATCATTGACTACGTTTAGATGATTTGATTATTTGAGAACATGAATTTATTTAAATCTCATGTGGAACATATATTATATAATGCTTTTTTACTTTATTGTTGTCTAATTAAACTTGGCTTGGCTTACAACCCAAGTCCAGTAAAAATCTAATAGTAACTCTTAGGTCGTTGTAAGGTGGCAGCTTTTAATATTTTTTTAAAAGTCTAAAATACATCTAATTTTTTTTTATGTAAATAAAATTAAAAATTAATAGAACTATTAAAAAAAAAAAAAAAAACAGCTGTTAATTGAGAATCCTAGTAAATATTTGGAACAATTCCATTAATTATAAGAAATAAAAAATTAATTGTTAAGGGTATTTTAGATGTTTACGAAAAAAGTTTCAAAAAGCTAATACTTAATGAGGACCTAAATATTACTATCACATTCTACTGGACCTTACCACTTAGGTTATACCTCGGGGACCAAAGTGGATTTCACTCTCCCGTAATCTCTAAGTCTTTGCACTGCTTCTTGTGGATTTCTACTTTCATATTTTTTTCAGGAAGTTGCCTATTTTATTGTTTTCATCTCTTTTCTCGGAAGATGCATGCCCTACCTAAAATTTTCAAAACTCTAAAATCTAATTCATAAGGGTTAGGTAAGAATCGGAAATAAAAAATATCAGAGTTTCGAATCAATAGTAACAAGAACAAAATCAATCAACAAAACAAATTTATTAATGAATTAATTGAAGGAAAAATAAAACAACATATAATTGATTTTATCTTCCACTATCTCTCAGTGTTTGCAATATATTTTTCTCCTGGAAGATGCGTTATTCCCTTTGTCGCTTTTTGACTTGACTCAGAAATGCAATCTCAATGAGCAATTAATGGGCTCTTTTCCTGCATTTCTAATTTCATCATTTCCCCTGGAAGACGCTCCCCATTTCATATTTTTCTTAGACTTATTGGGCCGTGATCATTGGGTGTGATTATGACACTAATTCAATATTAATACCTTATTAAATATGGAGGGAATATTTGGTTTGCAAATAAAAAAGTGATCAATGGTGAAATGAATTTCATTCACACCTATTTTTAGTAAATTTCCTTGAAATTGTCTCAATGAATTGCTTTTCCTAGAAGTAAAGTGATGGAAAAGTGTGTGCCTCTTTCTACTTTTGCCCTAAAAGTCTTTCTTTAGATTTATCACTTTATTAAATAAAACTGATTCAATTTCTATGAATTGGAATGTCTCTTGCTTTATGTCTAATACCCATAATTTGTGCTTCTTTACCCATTCATCCCTAAAACCCCATATCAATCAAACCCTAAACAAATACTACTCTATGTAGAACATAACAGAGCAAAATACTCTTATAATGGTAGGTTACAACAGTATTAAAAGGCAATCAACATCAATTAATTATCCAAAAAAACAAACATCACCAACATTAACATAGTAGTAACCTTCATCCAACATACATGATTAAACTGCATTCCAACAAGATAATGTGATGTCAAAATTTCAAATCCATAAACATCCTATCTGGGCTAAAGACAATTATAATTTTATAATTTTATATATATATGCTTGGGGTCCCAATAATTTTGCTTATCGAACACGGTGAAAGGTTCGTGGACAGTGGTCAAGAATAATTTAGAAAACAAAAAGTAATGAAAAGACATGTAATTTTATAAAACTTGAATATTATCCTAAAGTTGATAGGCTGGGTCATCCTCATGCCCCAGAGTAGTCCTTTTTGGTTATTGCTTTGCTGCTATATCAATAAGGAGAAAAACAGATTGAGTCGTCAAAGAAAGAAAAGAAGATGCGACCGAAAAGGAGTCGGTGGGAAACAATTTTATATGAAAAGTTCAAGGGCATTTACAATAGTGAGTCAAAGAAAGAAAAAAAGATGGGACGAAAAAAAAAAAAAAGCTAGTGGGAAACAACTTTATGGAAAGTTCACGCAATTACAGCCTCTTACAATTTTGAGATGTTTGTTTGATTTTTCTTCAGAGATTGGTTTCTTCTTCTCCACTGCAGCTCTAGTAGCGAACAGTGAAAGGGGGAGAAATTATAGAAGAAGAAGAAGCAGCCGTCCTAATTCATAGACTTTCATTAATTAGCCAAATTAATTTAAAAAGATAATTTAATTTTACAGCACTCCATAGTCCATAATGTCTATCTTTTAAATTAATGTACCCCAAAAACTGCAAAGGAATGCTAACAAAATGACAAAACAAAGCAAAGCTTAAAATACCGTGTCGAGGTTCAGAAGCAGAGCAGAGCTGCTGAAGGAAGGAAGGAACCAAAAGCAAAAGCACTTTGATAGCTGTAAATGATGATATGATGTAAGTATGAGACGCTGATGCAAACTTGAAAAATGTTACAGGTTTAAATCACAGCCGTCCGATTAGTTTTGATAATCGAGTAGTATCATCAACTCAGATTGTTTCAGTCAATTCCCAAGTCTTCATTTCAGATCCTTTGTTGAAGTGTGGGCTTTGATGTCTGTCTTGTCAATATCATATTTTCATCTATTTTAATTAAGTTTCAATTTCAATTGTTTCAACATACTAAATTAAGACAACCGATGCATCAAACAATTTTTTTTATTTTTTTAAATTTTTTGGGTGGAATTCTTTAAAACTGGCTTTATATACTTTTGAAGAGGTCTATTTTATTTTATTTGTTTTAGTCGTTCCTAATCTGAGAAACTATCATATGCCACTTTAAGATGTCAACACCTCGATCAAAGCCCGAGGTGTATTTTAAAAATTCGTAACATTTTCAAATTATACATATTAAAGTGTGGCTTTAATGTCTGTCTCTAGTCAATGTCAACACATCGATCTAAGCCCAAGGTGTATTTGAAAATTCATAACATTTTCAAATTATACATACTAAGGTGTCACCTTAATGTCTGTCTTGTCAATGTCAGCACCTCGATCCATATGCCACTTTGTTGACGTGTGGGTCCTAATGTCTGCCTTGTCAATGTCATATTTGTAACATTAGGTTTCAGTTTCATTGTTTCAAGTTTCAGCATACTAAATTATGACAATCAATACACCAAACAATTTTTTTATTTTTTTGGGTGGCGTTCTTTAAAACTGGATTTACGGTTTGCCACTTTATTTTATTTTATTTGTTTTAGTCGCTCCTAATTTGAGAAACTATCCATATGCCACTTTAAGTAGGGCTGTGCTGCCTGTGCAAATCAGGAAAAAAAAAAAAGAAAAAAAGTTAGGTGAGAACATTATTTGGTACAACTCCCTGTCAAATAATAATTTCACCATTAAGAAAGGGTCATTCATGAAAATTTCTCTAAATTGAGTGGCGTAGACTTTATGGAAGGTTCAAGGAAGTTGCTTAGAGATTCACCAGTGATATGCTTTTATAATTTTGAGATGTGTTCTTGAGATGGTGTTTTGAGTTTTGTTGAGATGGCCTCTTCTTCTTCTTCTTCTTCCACTACTCCTTTAGTGATACAGAAGTATGATGTTTTCATTAATTTCAGAGGGGAGGACACTCGCTATTGTTTTGCCAGCACTCTACGTGGACTTTTGCTTGATAAAGGTATCACTGTTTTCTTTGATGACGAGCTTGAGAAAGGAGATGAAATTTCGTCATCTCTTATGAATGCAATTGAAGAATCAGCTATTTCCGTTGTCATTATCTCAAAAAGTTATGCTTCCTCTAGATGGTGCCTTGAAGAACTTGCGAAGATCATTGAATGCAAACAAAAGCATCAACAGATAGTATTACCAATTTTCTATTATGTAGATCCAGCAAATATACGGAATCTGAATGAATGTTTTGGGAAAGAATTTGACAAGCTTGTAGAAAGTTTTAATAAGGAGAAGTTAGAAAAGCTACAAATGACAGAAGAACAATTTGAAGAGAAGATTCAGACATGGAAGAATGCTTTGACAAAAGTAGCCAACCTATCTGGCTACATCGCAACTAACACAACGTAATTTTCTACTCTTTTGCAGTACTTATCGCTTCAGATGAGTTTCTATTTCTTTTTCTTTTGTTAAGTTTGCGAGAGAGAAAATATTTCATAGAATACATGAGCATATAAAATCAAATCTAAAATGCTTCTGTACTTCGAGAAGTTCAACTTCACAAATCACAAGTAATGACTAATTATTTTTTTTCATTATTCCTAAAGTTCTATTTATTTTAAACATTTTGTGTCACACCCCCTCTCGG